TAGTGCGAACCGACAGTGATAGTCCGCTTGATACCCCACTTAGTGCGAACCGACAGTGATAGTCCGCGTGATAACCCTGATCAGTATTAGTAGAGTCTATGACCAACACGGGTGTAAGTTTGAGCATGAGTGGGTTGTGTGTGCTGTGTGGAAGTGTTGGCCATAGCCACTGCTGCTACTCGATGGGGGATGGGGGAAGTAGATGGGAGGCGCAACTACTGGCAAAATGCTCAGTCTTTGCGTTAGCTGGCTGGCACCCCCCACGGGCGGCCCCACCCTGCTCCCTCTCCACTGCCTATTAGGGCCGGGGGCAACATGCATCCCCTTAATTGTGAGAGGTAGCTATGTTTACAGGGGTCCCCCCACAGGCGACCCCACCCTACTCCCTCTCCACTGCCTATTAGGGCGGGGGGCAACATGAATCCCCTTATTTGTGAGAGGCAGCTATGCTTGCAGGGGTCCCCTCTATAGGCTTAGGAGTAGTGGTAGGTAGATAGTCGGAAACTGGTCACTTGATCCAGTGAAACCCCACCAAATAGGTAAGAGAACTCAAAGCAAGTAGAGAAGGATAAAGAAAATAAAAGAGAAGGGAGAATCTACCAGCTGGCCTAGCTCAGTTGGTACACACCCCTGAAGGGCCTGAACTGTTGAAATACAGACAAGTGTTCCAACTCCAGTGGAAATAAATGAGTAAAAAAGTTAAAAACACTGCAATTCTGAATACATAGGGCCGGTCAGTTGCATGAGTCAAGGCCTGAACCCTTCATAAGAATAAAGAAGGATTAAGAAAAAGAAAAAAAAAGGAAAAGGAGAATCTCTGTTCGGAGGGGACTGCTGACTTCTCGCCGATGTGTCAGTCGTAGAAACCTGACAGCTGTCTCCGCCTGTGGAATACCTGGGGCGAGGTGCGACCAGCAAAGAGGATTGGATTTAACTCCTGGATGTAGACGTGTTTGTGGAGGTGCAGAAAATCGCAATTGATCTGCTTTTCTGCATCTCTGCTGAAAACACATCCAGATTCAGGCACCTAATCCAATCCTCTTCGCTACTTGCGGGACTGCGCCCCTGATAGCAATCGTTCTCTGGCAATTTGCAACTCGTCTAGATTCTAGTCCCAGAAAAAAGAAAAAGAAAAAAACAAAGAATGATCTAGGCTCTATTTTTATTTTTTTTTACCTTGTTTGGCATGGTGTCTTCCCGACTTTCCCGTAGAATGCTGACACCCGTCCCCGGCTGTGCGAGACCTGAGAGAAGCCTTGCCTCCGGAAATGTGCCACTTGTTCAGGTTTGAAAATTTGTTTGACAAGTTGACTGCTGGCTCCGTGCCTACGTGTCTGCTGTAGACGATGGACACCTGTCTCCCACTGTAAGACTCTCTCTCTCTCTCTCTCTCTCTCTCTCTCTCTCTCTCTCTCTCTCTCTCTCTCTCTCTGTGTGTGTGTGTGTGTGTGTGTGTGTGTGTCTGCC